CAGCGAATGGAATTTCGTCGAACATTCACCGAGCCCCAGGCAACGAGAACGATCTGAACACCACCAACATAATGCCAACATTGGCTGAAGGATCGGTTGTTGAAATCGTTCCACTGCCAGCTCAATATGATCCCGAGCTGAGTGTTGACCAAAATCCATTCTACTACGAACCGAATAAATTGTTGAACCAGTTGCATGCGGAACGTCTCAAGCGCAAAGTTTCGTAGCTATCCCCCACAGAAAAAAAATCCAATATGCAACAGTAAATTCCAGAATTCCCGAACAAATTCCAAGTATCGCCAAACATTTTCATGTATTAAATTGTCAAATTACACTCAGTTTTTGTTATCGCACAGCCAGTCCGATTCCGTTTTCATATTTATTTAATGTTTGCCAGAGTTCAAATAAAATACAGTTCAAAGTGCAATGAGTTCAGAATTACAAATTTATATTTACCCAAGCTTATATAATAATTTTTTTTCTTTTACCTGCATAATATTAATGTTAGATTTCGATATAAGATATGAAGTGGAGAACAAAACATGTTGAATATGGAGATTTAATTTCGTTTCAAGTAAAGTTGATAATACGATTCGATTCAATTCAATATATTTATAAATCAAGCGAAATTTAAACTCAATATTGCGATTTAAAATTCTAAAATTCCCTTTATAAACGACTTTTATTAAAGTTAAATTTAAGCTAAAAATTAAATTTAAAAATATGAAAATAAAAAATTTTTTAATTATATTTTTTGATGAAAATTGATATTTTAAATTGAAAAAATGATGATTAATTTAAAAATTAAAATTTAAATGAAATTAAAAAAGAATATTTTTTGAAATATGAATAAAATTTGAATGCCAAAAATTATGTAGAACAAAAATATAGTGATAATATAGCGCGACGTCAAAATCTGCTAATTTAAAAACGAATGTATGAAACTTTGAAATTACCATAAATTTTTTGCTAGTTCGAATTTCATGAACTCAGACAACAAAAATTTGAACTCAAAAAACAAAGAAAATTAATTCTTGAATTACCATAAAGAATAAAAGTTTGCTTATTTTTTGTTTTTATAAATGGAAAAAAATGTATAAAAATTCATTGAATTAGCATAAAAATAATTTTTTTAAATATTTATTTTTTGTTTTAAACTAATTTTTAATTAAATTTAAACAATTACTATGATTTTGGTCAGATATTGAGTATAAAATGCAGTTAATTGTTAGGATTTCGTATGTTTCCCACGACTACAAGGCCGTCTGCATAGCAGCTTGATTTATGAGTAATATCAAGGCTTCAACGACTATTTCTGCTCAGAGCCAATCACTTGAGATTCCATTTATTCCCGCCATTCGCGTCCTTTGGGTCTGGTTGGCACCTGGCATGCAAATGCACTGCCCCAGTTAAGTGTGGCAGAGTGGCATTGCGATGGGTTCAATAGCCACAAAATCAGCAGAGGTCAGGTCAAAGACGTCACCACCAAAGGTGGCTGCAAAGCCCGGGGTTGGCAGCAAATCTGCTTTGATATGCCGTTGGCAATGCGCGGCACGTAACCAGGCAGCCTGACAACGACGTGAGTTACAGCCGGAGTCGGGTTGCCCGTTGCATGCTACGGCTGCAATTTATTTTATTCATTTGCCCAAGGACCTGTCCAGCATTTGCACTCGCTTCTAAAAATAAGCATCTGCCTCGAATTGCTGAAGCCTCCAAACAGAAGTAGGTCGAGCGGAGCATGCAACGTTTCACTCAATGCTCTTCGAAATGCTTGATAGATGTGTGGCAATAAGTGTGTGTGCCTGTGTGTGTGCTTTGTTACGTACACCTAAGCTTTATCACGTGCACATACATACGCACTCGGAGCTCCACGTGCGCTTCGCTTCGAGATATTTTTGGAATATCTACGTCGGCTTATGCTAAGCATTTCCCTCTCCGTTGCCACTTCTATGCCATTTTCCTTTTGAATATCAATTTAAGTGCATGTTCATAACACGAGCGCCTCTTTGACCTAAGATCTGGGTATCAAGTACAGTTTAATACCCTGTGAAAACTATTTGCAAGGGACTATATGAAGCAGCAGTAAATTAGTTATTAAATACGAAAATTTGGAATATATATATTTAATTCTTGGCAATTTAAGTTTATTTCATATAATCGATAACTGTAAATCGATATTAATTCATATGTTTTAATTATTATCAGAAGAAACTTAATTCCATTTAAAATAATTGTTAATGTATCTAAATTGAGATATACAGTGTAGCTTTCGATAGCATAAGCTCTATCTTGAGATATCAAATTGGACGCAAAATAACGTAGCTCAAGGCCAGCTGCGAGGTATTTACCAGTCAGGCAGTCTTGACTGCATCGCTCGAGCTTGTTTCAGCTTTGCAAGTCGACTTGAGCAGCTGCTTGCTGCCCACTCGAGTAGGCTTATACAAATTTAATTGGCAAGGCATGTAAAACACGCCCACACACGATTTTGGGCAAGCGTTACGAACATTATTATTGTTTAACCATTAACGAGAATGTTCAATAACAATTAACTAAGGGAAAACACTAACGATGCCCGCACTTGGGCAAATGTTAGTTTTTCAGCTTAAAACAAAGGGGAAAATGGAAATGAAAAATAAATATTATTCAAATATACATAGACGATATATAGACAGTATATATAGACAATATATATAGATGTTCATATATAGAGTTGAAATTGAAATTGAAAGCGAAATATTCTTTATTATTATTATTATTAATATTTTTATTATTATTATTATTTTTATTATTATTATTATTTTTATTATTATTATTTTTATTATTGTTATTATTTTTATTTTTGTTTTTATTATTATTATTATTATTATTATTATTATTATTATTATTATTATTATTAATTATTATTAATATTACTTTTTATTATGTTTTATTTTATTAAGTGCAACCCTCTTTACAAATTCTTGGAAATTTCGTGAACTTTTCGCTGTATATATATACGCTTATACGCTGTATATGTATATATATATGCATATATATACAAGTATAACTGAATAATCAGTGATTGACGTCAGTTGTGGATATTTGATTCGGTTTGAATGCACTTGAATTCATTGTAGCTTGGGAATCGTTTGCCGTAAGCAATAAAACATAAGATTAATAAATACTGAAGTATGCGGGGAATGCAATTATTGATTGTATCTAGTCTAACATAGTTTTCGAGTCACACATATATATAATATAATGCTGCCAAAGCTAATATAGGAAATCTTAACATCCAATCATGAATCTTTAATTAGGTCGCCCGCGATTCGTTCAGTTGTTGATATTTGAAAACAAGTTCTGACAATGTCTCCATGATGAATTGAATTGTTAATGTGCCCGGGGAATTGAATTCAATGTGTTCCAAAGAATGTAATCGCTGTTACACACATATCTCAACCACTTTGCATAACATTTTGATTTATTGTACGTTCGTTAATGTAAAGACACGAATATGGTATGAATCACTGTCGATTCAGTTATTGTTATTGTTATTCCTATTGCTATTGCTATTACTATTTGTTGTTGAATTCACCTTTGTTGTGCTTTTTGTATACAAAACATGTGACACCTTGCACTTTGCACTAATTGTGTTTGCATTGCATATTCCGAGGAAGCAATTACCAAGGCGAGAACTAAAGTCAAACAAAACAAACTGAGATCAGCTTGAATATCACAATACCCAGCAAATGTTCTCATAAGAACTCGTTCTTATAAGAACATCTCATAGATTAACAGAATATGAGTTAAATTTAATCTGGACACTAATGTTATCAGCGGCTTATGTTAAATTTTCTGTTATACAACATAACATGCTTACCGAGTATGGCATAAAAAATATTGAAGAACTTTAGCTATGTTATGTTAACAGCATGTTATATATCTTATATTATGTTATGCCTCTTATATTATAATGTTGTACAAATATACAAAATATCTAAAAAAGGCTTATAATAAAATCTTTTTGAATTGTACCAATGTACACACATAGTATACCCCATTTGTGTATAGTGTAAAAAAACGTGCAGCTAGTAACAATGAGAAAAAACGTGTAAAGTGAACTTCACGGTTGATGTTTGCGAAAGCTTAAACACAGATACAGAGCAATGTCGAAAAGAGAGAGCGAGAGGGAGAGAGAATGAGTAATTTCTGTTGGGCTGCACGGCAAATTTATGAGCAGCTTTTAGCTTTTAATTTGGCGTCTGTCTATGTCATCAGGTGTTTAGGTGTTATCAACTAAGAACGCTGCATCAATAAATATTATAGTCACCATTTTGAAGAATTTGATAAATTTATGGTGTTGACGCTTTGATTGATTCTCTAGGGTCATTTTTCTGTCATGCCGAATGACGACTGCCCAAGAAAATTTTTGCACACTGCCCGACATGTGAAAATTCTTGGCGCCGTTGTTGTTGTTGTCTTCAGTTCAAATTTAGTTGCATACTTTGCGCGGCGGGCAAGAAAAAGGAGTTGCGCCTGGCAGCCGAAGCTTTTGCCAGAGCAAGAGCAATTGCTGCCGGCCGAGAGCTTTTTATCTCAGCATCAATCTGATTAACACTGTTGTCGGCTATTGACGCATCGAAGCTGTCAGTTGCGCAGCGACGATGGCGGCGTTCTGACAGATTTGGATTTGGCATGCTGAAAAGCGCCCGAGCACAACAAAAACAAAAGAATAAAACGAAAACAAAACAACAAAAACACAAACACAAACAAATACACGCAATGCCTAAAAAGCCGAAACCGAAGCCGAAGACTCAGCCGAGACCACGCCGACAACGTTGCCTTTGCCGTGACTATTGGCGATGCCGAGGCAACGCCGACGCAGACGCCTCGTTTGCCAACTCGATAAAAGTGTGTGCTAGATGACGCTACCGTTACCGGTCGTGATTGTTGTTGCTGCTGGCGCTGCTGCGGTTGCTGCTGCTGCTGCTGCTGGTGCTGCTCACATTTGGATAATAAAACTGGCATCGCGCACTCGAGCGCCAAGTTAATTTGCAAACGCTGCTCATACGCTGCGGAGGCAAGAAGCAAAGCCAAAACATACAGAGCAAAAACGCCTCCGGCCACAGTTACTGGCAGTGTGACCAAAGCGCGTGCGTGCTCAGCGTCCACTTTGGCCTTATTCGCAAACACAGCTACAGCTACACTCACACACACGCACAGACAGGCATAGCGCCACGCACACACAGTCAAAGCGAACGTTCGCAGTCTTCATCTCGTGTCGCTCCTCGTAAGTCATTTTTGTTCCAACATTCTTCTTGACTGAGTTGAATTTATTTGGAACTCAGTCGCGCGCTTCGCTTATTTAACGGTTCTTCAGTGCGCGGCCAGCGAGTGCTAACAATAATAATAATAATAATAGAAATTATACAAATTATTTAATTAAAGCAGAGCAACGGCAGCATAATTAAGCTCTAAAATAGTTTTGTGATTTTCGCACGTTTCAAAGTGAAATCGTTGTTATACAAAGGTTGTTTTATTTCACTGTATAACACGCTGCAAAAAGTAAGCGAGCGTGCAATAAAAAAATATCTATTTGCCTTATATAGTCGACGATATATGCCAAACAGTGCAAATATCAATTTATGCAAGATATAATTTTCTATATTTATAAATATTATTAAAACAAAAACAAACCTGGCATCGTTTAATATAAACACAAGTCAACAGTTTTGTGAAAACTCACTCGAAAGTGTTCTGAAAAATTGGCAAAAATTCACAATGAACACAGCCAGACTTCGTGTATGGACAGCAGCTGTGAACAGCATGAAATTAATCAAAGAAACCAAATCATGTAAACAATTTACATATGAGCTATATTAAGATATATTTATTCTCACTGACTTGGCGATAGTTTGTTTTGAGTTCTTTGACAGGATTTTAGCACATATAAAATTCGATTCAGGTTCAGCGTAGATGAGCGCATAAGTGTATTAAAAAAGAGAAAAAAAAAACAGCTCATAAAGCGATAAAAAAACAAGGCTAATTATAAAATTAACAACCTCATGAAAATACAAAAGTTTAATTTGATGTGAAATGTTTAATGCCGCAACAAGTTCGTCTGTTTATAAAGTTGATTAGCCTATTTGTTTATCGTGACCAAATGGGAATTAAAAACGAAAGCAATCAGCATACAGAAAGTCATCAACTGGTTTCATTTGGTTTGCAGAACTCAACAAAATCGTCTCGATGTTTGACGCCCAAATGCCCAATCTGAAGACGCCAAGTGTGCCCAGCCGCGCGCACAGTTTCCCGTTATAACGAATGCCACTCCCACACACAGCAGCACTCACCAAAGCAAGCCACCAAACTAGAGCAGCACTAGCTTAAGCCTAAGCCACCATACATAAAGCCAACTATATATTAACTGCTAGATCTAAGTAGCCAATGCCAAATAGAATGATAATGGATAAGACGGAGGTAGCAGGCGAAAGTGCCTGGACGAAGCTGCTCAGCGAGGACAACACGAAGACACCTGTTATTATCAAGTCCAACAACAACAACAACAACAGCACCAGCGTCAGCAAGGACAACAAGGAGACGGCCGCACTCCACGTGGAGCAGCTCAGCATTAATGCGCTGCCAGCGAGCGCAAGCGCTGATCCCGTTGCGGACTCCAGTGCCAACACCGAGCAGGTTTACAATCGCAGCGCCACTTATGGATCGGGCATCAACAGTGCCGGCGGCGAGTCGAGCGGCAGCGGCACCTTGCTCTCCCGCAAGGAATCCTTCCTCGGCTCATTTCACAAGCAAATCAGGCGCTCCATCAAGGCGGTCAGCGAGTCGCCAGGACCATTAACTAGGTGAGTGTGCACATTTATATATCAGATTCCGACACATATATATATATATATATATATATATATATATATATATATATATAGATCTCTATAATTAAACACATTTATGAGATGCTCACTCGGAGAATGCTTGAATTCTAGTTAACCGAAGTCGACGTTGGGGTATTTCGTTGCTATACACAGCATAGCTACATAAATATACTCTATACTCTATACATAAATATACTCTTGATTTAGATGTGTTGGGCTTGACTGCAATGTCGTTCTAGTCAGTCACATCCGAACATGAGTTTGATATTGAAATCATTTGCAAATTTAAGTTTATGAAATAATCACTAAAATTAACTCTTGACTGCTCTGGAGAGGCTTGAACAAGAAGCCACCAAGCCTGCTTTCGGCCCGAGCATATGAAAACCGGTTACATTTTATTGTTTACTTTTACAAGAACCCCAAAACCCAACCAACTGCGCAAAAAGTAGAAACAACTTTATGAAATATCAAGTAGAAAATTAATTCAAATTGAACAGACGATTGCGGGAAATCGAAAATGTTGCACTCAGAGTTGCATTAATATAGCATACTTTTCAGATCAAAGGTGTCAATTGCTGAGCATACCATCAACTGAAGACAGGGTATGTCAAGGCAGTGCAGTATTTAAGATGTCAGCAAATATTGCGCATACGTCATGTGCGCACGCAATTGGGCCAGGGCTCGTTGCCAAAGATCTTCGAAGATTCTTGCTTGACAATATACTAGATATTGAACTTATGTCATTTGTATGACACTTCATAGCAGTGTATACACACCCACACACCCACATAGAGCCACACACCTGTTGACTCTCGTTATTGATAGGACATTTGCTTGGATACACAAATTACGAGAGAGCTAAACGATATGTATATAGACTATCATGTGTGCGATAATGTAATCGGGAGCTTGAAGTCTCTTGTGCCTCCTCTGCCCCCAACCCTTGTGCAGCAATGCTAAGCGACACGCGAGCGCAAAAAAAATATAAATAAGATAAACTTTCCGTTGATTGGATGAATGACAAAATTAAATTATTTTGATTTAAGGCCGTCGGTGGGTGGACAATTAAATATGATTTCCGCCTGCTGCCTGAGCATGTAAGTAATTGGGGTTAGATGTGGCATAGACTAGAGCCCGAGTACCGGGCTGTGCGCTGCTCGCTGTACAAATGCCCCTGACATTACTCAGCCAATTGTTTGCTTTTGTTTTTTGTCAGTTGCCAGTTCAGCTTCAGCTTCAGTTTCAGTTGAGATTCAGCATGGCAGAGGCAACTAGTTGCCTGCGGCAGCTTGGCTCGAATGTTGCCTAAAAGCAAGTTAATCAACAATCATATTTTGGCGCAGTTGAATTAAGAGAACAAGAATTGTAATGCGCATAATTTATAAATTAAATTTTATTACTCGCTCACACGAGAGCTGTGGTCGGTTAATTAACAAACGTGTTCAGCAAATTGCCCGTCTCAATTGGCCAACTGCCAGGGGGATTTCCTCAGCTGTTGCCGAGAGTTTCGATTAGGCGAATGCAAATCGCTCAGGGCCTATATATAGACAGCTGCTTAAGCAGATCGATGCTATGACAAATAAGGAAAACAACAGCTAATACGTGATATTTGTGTAGGCATAGGCCAGTCTGGCATTTGGCCCCATTGATTGCTTTCTTTGCTGGCACACGGGTCGTATGATTAATTTTCTAAATTTCTATCGATTCCCTTGGCTGATTTCTCTGTCTGCGCTTGCTCACGAAATGTTGGAGTTAATTATTAACGAGCTTTTGTTGATAAACAGGTTTTTCATCCATTGTCTCGCACAGACATTTCTATTAGCCTCGAAGTGAAGCTGCAAAAAGAATTCAACTGAAAATGTTGCCATTGAGTCAGATTTATATATATATATATAAATATATATGCTTATATATGATTTATTTTGCTTAATGCTGCATAATTCTGAGAATTTATTTGAGATAAATATGCTTGAAATATATAATGTTTCCCATCTATACTTGAGTATTGTTTATATATGCCAAATGTTAACAGTCCTCCCATTAAGATAATCAGCTAATGTTATTCAAATGTTAATCTAACAGCAAGTGATGTAAGGCGTACTTAATGAAACTGTTTATGTAATCAGCTGTTTTAGCATTTGATATCGATGCGCTTATCATGTGATTACAAAACTTTGAACTGGCGTCAGCTGACCGTACGCAAAGCTTGGTAGAGTATTTATTCTTCACGTATTGTGTTTGCTTCATTTTCTTCGCTTTTTTTCTATTATTTAACTACTGATAGCTGCAAATTAAAAAGATTGAGGGAGGTATATACATTTCAAAACAAACTTTTGACGCATTGAGACCCTTATCGCTGGACATGTCTGATACTCGAGTGCCGCAGAGTGCAGACTGCACTTAATTAAATAATTAATTAATTAACTTGGTGCAATGCAGGCACATCTCCTAATTGGCAGTAATGTCGTCCCGCCCTCTGGCCACGCCCACACAGATGAGCAAAAGCTGTAGTTAATTGCGATGGCTTAAGCGCGTGTTGCAATAAAAACAACAACAACAAAGCAACAAAAGCAACAACAACATAAATAACAATAACAAAGCCAATTATTGAAACTGCGACCGTTACCAGTTAACAGTCGTCGCAGCTTTTCACATTTTTCATGCACTTTGCATATTTACATGCCTGCATATTACGTATACGCGACGTAAGCCAGCTTTATGGCACAGCCAATGCCAATGACGTCGACGTCGACGTCGGCTTCGACTGCTGCCACATTAATTGCCATGATTTAAGCAGCAAGAATAACACTGTGGACATAAATCTTTTTGCAAAGCTGCCGAAAATTTACAGTTCATTTTATTTGCTTGCTTTTGTCGCATGGCGCAACACGCCGGTGTTTCTTGTGTCTCTTTTTGTGTTTGTGTTTTCGTTTCACAGTTGTTGTTGCTGCTGCCATTTGTGAAGCGTATACTAACAAAAAAATCAGAAGAGAAACAAAAACAAATTTGTTATCAGCTGTTGTATTTCATTTTGACTTTCTGTTTTTGCGTCTTCCGCGAAAATTTCTTAACACATGTTGTTGTTATTGTTGTTGTTGTTGTTGTTGTTGTTGTTGTTGTTGTTGTTGTTGTTGTTGTTGTTGTTCTTGCTGTTGCTGTTGCTCTTAGTGTTTACTTGTGTTTAGCAGCCAGCCATTGTCACACTGGCTGCTGCTGCTGTGGCTGTGACTATGGCTGCGGCTGTTGCTATTGCTATCGGCAGCGACGCGTCGTCTGCTGCTATCGGCTCTTCCACTTGATACTTTGAATTGAAATAAAAAGCAACAACGCTGTCAACTGAGCGTTTCAGTTTGGCTTCAGCCGTCTTCGCAGAAAGTAATACACCTGCGCTATAATTCAACGTCGACGGCCACAACGACGACGACGCTGCTGCTTCTGTTTACGCGCGCATTCGCTCTGTCAAGCGCGCTCTCTCACTATCTCTCTCTGCAACAGCATCTCTTCTACGTGGCTGTCTGTACGCGCGCGCTCTCTCTCTCTCTCTCTGTTTCTCTCTCCCTGCTCGCAGTCAGTTCGTTGCACGATCAGCGGCGACGCTGTGAAGTTATTTAAACGCATTTTACATGCAACGTCAGTTGTAAATGAGACGCCGCTTAAATAATTACGAACGGACGAACAGTAAACTAAATACGAAATAACAATAACCGTTACCGTAGCCGTTACCGTTTAATAAACAACACTTCGCCCGCTTCAATTCAAACGCCAATTGTTACGCTCTGTCGGCCGGAGCAGACGCGGTGTGAATAATGAGCGCTTTTGTTTACTTCAAAATAAAAACCATATTCGCCTTTCCAACCACAAAAAGAACGCATTTCTGATAAAGAGCGAAACGAGAAGTATTCGCTTTGTGTATGTGCTTTTTTAGAGAGTTGCCAAACAACAACAACAACCACAACAAAAGCATCTGGCATCCAGCAAAGGCTGGCAATATTAATATATCCCTAGCCCAGTATCCAGATTCAGCGATAACGTCACCCGTCGCTTACCAGTATTATTAAAAAACAAACAAAAATAAATAAATAAAAAAAAGTGCTCGAATCTTTTTGTTTCTAAACTCAAATATCAATTATTATAATTGTAATACATTTGCTGCTGCGGCTGCCGTCAAGGTTGTAACAGGAGCGCGGAGAGCTTTTTATTTTTGCTAGCCGTTCGACCGAGGAGGAGCTGTCACTCGTCACACACACACACACACACACACCAACACCAACACATATACATATACACGTTGGGATACAAACATATTTCGTCTTTCTGTTTGTTTGCTGTCGCCGCGCTGCCATTGCTGCTGCTGCTGCTGCCCGTCCGTTACATTTTAGTCGCCGCCGCGTCAGCGACGCCGCGTGTTGTCGCCGCGTTTTCGCCGACCTCAAAACAAAACACAAAAACGACAAAAAATAGCGCAAAAAAGACACAAAACTAAAATATATACAAAAACTCACACACACACACACATAGGAACGATTTGTGTTGTATAACGCACGCGTGTGCATTGAATTTAAAGCATCTTAATATTTGCACGCATTTCCTTTCGGGCAACATGAAGCGTCTGATGACCTGGGAGCGCGATCTTGTCGATGCTATGTACGAGTAAGTTGTACACACACACACATACGTCTATATATAAATACATCTGAAAGCTGTTTAACTGTTTGTTAAATGATTGCGTTTATCAAGAGTAATTAATTTTAAGTAGTGCTGCAGCTTTTCAAGTGCATTGTTTTGTTTTGCAACACATTCGTTTGAGGCCTGTGTCCAATGCCGCTCCTTAAGCAACAAACTTGTTTCACTTGCATTGAACTCAACTCTTGACAGCCGCGTACAGTACAGCGTACAGCGCAACAGCTGCCAAAGCCAAAGCCAAAAAAAAACCAAACAAAAACAAAAACAACAACAACATCTATGTTTTATAA